ATCAGTGAGTTGCATATTTTGCAAAGGTTTTTCTTTATATTTTTTAAAAAATGTAACTAAATTTGTAATTCTCAATATTTTCGGAAGTAACTGTAACTGAATTACATATTTTCTCATTGTAACTGTAACGAATTACAGTTACTCTTTTTTTGTAATTAAATTACGTAACGTCGTTACATGTAATCCGTTACTCCCCAACCCTAACTCAGGACCACCCCAGTGTTCCCTGGCCCGTCCGTTTAGCGCTCTTCATCCACTATCCGCATTTAAACAAACGCTTTCTAAGGCTCAGTGTGAGGGACACACTGGGATTCTGAAAGGTTTCTGTGGGAGCCATCTTGCACTTTGGGTAGTGGTAATTCTGTTGATTTGTTTGTTTATTATGAATTTGTTTACATTAGTGATAGTTTCATATTTTGGTAGTATTCTTTTTGTAATTCGTCTAGTTAATTGCTTTGCTTTATGTTTGGTCTTTATTTGGTAAATGTATTCATTGTAGTATTTGGTTTTAGACACCTGGGGGTAGTGGTGCGTACAGGTACGGGTGGATATGGGTAGGAAGTGTTTTTTTACCAGCGCATGAGATTTGTTTGCTCACCTGAAACAGCAATAAACTAACTAAAGGACAGGAGTTTTTTTTTTAAGTTTAATTTAATTTTCGTTAAAAGTTTGTTTAACAAACGGCTACTACAGTTTCTAATAGTCTGTCAGTTGCACAAAGATTTGTATTTTATTTTAATTGCATGTTATTGTGATTTCTTATAATTTTTTTAATTTATTGTTGTATTTTTATGTTTTAGTGGTTGAATGTTCTGCTTGTTTAAAAGGGCAATGGAGTTAGAACTCCTAATAAGTTGAAAATGCTCAAACAACAAAGCTCAGAGCGTGAATTAAAGCTCCTCCTGATGCAAAGGAGAGACCAAAAAAAAGACACAAAGTGTCCTCAGTGTGTCAGCTTTGGAGTCCCCAACCCTTAGTGGGACTTAAAAACCAGAGAACCTGACAATAGGGAGAGGAAACCACCAGAAGAAGGATGGAGGGAGAAGAAGTTTAAGCTGATTCTGAGAGGAAAGGGGGAGAAAAACAACCAGAGGAGGGATGCAAGCTGTTATCAAACACAGAGAGATGAAGTTTAAGCTGATTCTTAGAGGAAAGGGGGAGAAAAACAACCAGAGGAAGGATGGAAGCTGTTGTCAAAAACA